TGATTTAAACAAATCCCTTTGTTTAGATTAAAACAAAAGCTAGCGGTTGACTGACACGAGCGCGAATGTTTGATGCCGGCGCTTGAAGTATTGCGTACAAGTACTCCTTCTGACTTCGGTACACTTTTTCAGCAGCCTGTACGACATTGTGAACAGGGCTTGACGAAAGCCCACCATCCTGGGCAAATCTTATCTCCTCCGCCGCGTCGATCGCAGTTCTCCAGCTGACATAGAGCTCGAGAGCATACTGTTAAGACATCCTACTGAGCGAGAATCTCTACGTTACAGCGCTGATGAACACGACTTCAATCTGTCGCCAAGTGTTGTCCGTACGCTGCGTTGCTGAGTGTTTCACCAAGGAAGATAACACACCGTCAACACCGCCTTATCCGTCGCCCCCTCCTCTTTCCAGGATGCCTCACATAAACGAGGAAGAGTACTGGACTTTTATAACGCTCGTGACATCAAGTGCTTGGTTGCCCACTGGGAGAGCAAAGTGGGTATCATCGGATGCAAAATTGGCATATTGCCTGAAATGCATCACGTCTAAGTTTAGAGCTGGCAGTAGTACTTGGATTCGAAAGCGAAAGCACATGACCCAATATCACCCAGAAGAGATTGTCACGATAGAACGAGAGGAGTCTGCAAGAAAGGTAAATAACAATCTTGTTGGTACATGTAAGCGGATATCTGGTGCAGTGATTTTCTCCCCTACCTACTGAACAGAGCGGAATGACCCAGTAGAAGAAGTTATGTCTATACGAGCCTTTATTAATTGTATTGCCAAGCAACTGCGTCCATTAAGCGTCGCGGAAGACAAGAAACTTTGGTTTTGTGTGACTTTGATTAAAACCATCAACGGTATCCGAGATACCTTCCCGCCGCACAACTACGGAGCGTATGCAGGGTCACTATCAATATATGAGGTTACTTGTAAAAGAAAATATTGCTGAGCACGCAGAGTTTTACTCGCTCACAACGGATTTGTGGACGTTACGTACAACAGTTAGTTAACCCCTTTACAGCGCTATTCTGTATTCTACAGTAGAAGAATTATGACAGGACATAATTTCCAGCAAACTTGTAATCGTCGTTATTTCTCGCATGTTGTGTTTGTAAAGGGTAGAGATTGGTAGTTCGATCTTGAAGGATCTAAGAAGGGAAGATAACCGGGGATAATTCGAGTTGAATAGAAAAGACAGTATAAGATGACTGGAGGTTTTAAAAATTCAGTTTCTTGCTATTTTCGGCAGTTGTTGGTGACCACATATTTCAGATTTATTCGAGAATGAACGCTCCCAACGAGAAACCGTTCAAGCAGTTATGACGCGAGCTATCCAAGGCAGGATGGAAAGCGAGGAAGCCTACAGGACTGAGTGCGAACCTCACGTACGTGATGCCCAGTGTGACTGGCCGTTTGGATGCAGAGAAGCGTGGAGTTGAATACTTCGTTGGTACGTTCTGCAGACAGCTCGGTATATATACTCACAGTACTGAAAGGTATGTGCAGGTGAACAAGAACTCATGACATTTGGACGTCGTCAGGGGTTGCTGGAGCTCTCACCTTTGTCATCACTCCCAGCAAGGATCCCCATGGGAAAAAATGCGGCGTATGAGCTGGCCCGCCGTCGTGCGCCGGTTGAAGAAGTGCTGCCAGCGGAAGAACAAGCGGCACCAACTTTGGAGGTGACGCCTACTCCTCCATCTCCTCCTTCGAGTTTCCCTTCGCGTACTTCAGCTTCTCCACCGTCGACTCAAGCTCAAGCAATTCAGCCAGATACAGAACAAGAAGGTGGGAGCACCACTACTAGTATGGAGGATCCGGAATACGATGCACGCTCGGGTCATGAGCGTGCCGACGAGTCGAAGCGTGAAAGCGACGATTTCAACGGGATTGATGAGTTTGATGGAGAGAACTTCATGGATGCGCTACGTGGGGAGAAGCTGTTCGGGTCAGATGCTGTAGATGATGTGAATGTGTGCGATGAAGCTGAAGATGACAACAACAGTATCGGTTGTGTCTTCGATGATGAGCTGGATGTGCCCGTGTCGCCACGAGAGGTCTACGAAAGCGAAGTAACTACTGAAAACGTCTCTAGAGCACAGATGTACTACGTATGGATAGTAGGTAGGAAGGAGAAGACAAACGCACTGGTGTTATAAGAACAATTTAATAAGCTAATATGTGCAAACGTGAACAGGTTTTCATACGCATCATGGGCACTGAGGTTGGCCTTCTTAAATACTTGCAACCTCAACATTTGACAGGAGCACTGGTTGCAACCAAATCTCCTTCCCTATCATGTCCCGGACACGATACCCCATGCGCTGGATCACTTGCGCGCTCTCAACTCTTTGGGCCTTTTCAATGAGATCCTTGGCAAACACATTTTGGCTGCTTTTGGCTGCGGTGCGGGCTTGTCACATGTTTGTGATCTGGATTGCCGTCGCCTTGGCGAAACCTGTGCAGCGTAGCGCTCTCTGTTGAGCAAGCTGACGGAGAAGTCGCTGGCCAATGTGCTCTTCGAGCGGAGCACACGAACTTTAAATGAGCACATGGTTTTGCTGGAACACACGTAGATATTCGCTGCTCCCCCAGACAGCTTCGAGCTCAGCCCGGCCTGTTTGTCCTGTACAAACGCGAAACCCTTTATGTGTAGCGTTGCGTCTTGTCGAGTGGTGAGCCACATACTAATGGAGGGCGAAATGGAGACCGGGAGGCTACTCCACCGTCACGCACCCCGACATCACGCTGGAGGAAATTGAAAATGGAGACTTGTGATCTGATTTTTCGAATACCAGGTCCCAAAATTTAATTGCATTTAATGTAATCAGCCAGCCAGGATCTGGTAAATGTAATTACGCTTGACGATGCCTAATCAAACAGTATCAGGATTGAACAATTTACCTACATATAAGGCACGAGGTTTAAGATAGGGATGTCATGGTCACCAAGTTGCAAATCATCGGAGTAAAACCCTAGACAGAGCCCTGAGTTTGGGAATTCAAGCAAGAATAATTAGTCAAGGGTGTAAGTCGTAGACTGAACCATGCTATGGCGTGCCGGTGCAGATTGGGTTCAGCTTGTCCCGCTTCCGCAAATCAAACGAAAGCACAGTGTATGACTCGATCATCAATGCCCCTTAACCCTTTTAGAGCGGAGACCTGCCAGGGCCTTCAAAAATGTGACCATTAAGATTACCGTATTTCGCAATTTCGAATAATGATTTATGGCTATTTACTATTGTGATGTCATTCTGGTCGAGTTAGAATTCCAACTGGGACTCTTGGAAAACAAAAGACAGGGCACGACAGCAGGGACTGGCAAACGGTCTATAAATGTATATTTAGCCAAACGTATGCTTACGTAAGAGGCCCTTCCAGGGACTTTAAGGCTTAGGTCCTAAAGGTCCATACACTGTGTTACCCGATTTTGGTAATTTGCTACGTCACACTACACTGTATGAGTGTTCCGCTACACTATATGAGTGGAAGTGGGTACAGTACTTTCATTAAGTTTCATCAGACTCTCTCCTCAATTGTTTTACCAGGCAGATATATAAACAGAGAGTCATGTATTCAGCAGCCGCCAAACAATGGGTTACGTCTCCCTACAATCGAAAACTTTAGAGCGTCGAAGACAGGTTATTAGTATTTTAACTAGTAATAGTCTGATTGAAATGGTAAAAGGTTGCTATAATAGAAAAGAAACACGGTATCGATACGAGACGTTGGTGCGGAAGGCTAGAGCGAGGCAGGCATGGCCGCCATTTAAGAATTTAAAAAAAGTACAGTCGAGAATCCCTTGTGATTACGCTTTCGAGCTGCGAATCGAAGTCAGTTGGTTTCCCGTCATCATATCATGTTTCGTCACGAGACTGTCGTGGCATTTTACCCAGTTCGAGCTGCAAACATATCATGAGATAAGCAATTTGGTCTGGTCCGTGGTCGGACCCTTACTGACGGACCGTCAGTGACGGTACACATTGAGTCCGGTGATGACCAAAATACTGCTGGTACAGAAGTTGGCAATGAACACTTTCGTGCTGTGTTTTCTTATGGCTGTAGGTCACCTGGATCCGTTGGTGCAGGAGTGTAGCTAGAAATGTTTTCACCCGGCCAATTTCCTGGTTGGAGATTGGAACCTTTTTTTCTTCATATTCTAAAGTAATCGAACTCCTGCTCAAGTCCTATACTCCAGCTCTATCTCTAGAATCAACAACGGTTACATTGCGTCTTTGGGACAGGCGAACTACGCGGAGAGCCTCCGAGCACCTGTGACGCACGGTGTGAGTGCTCACGCACTGCTGTCAATTGACGCTCGATCAATATGCTAAAAGCGCCTCTTTTTTTGTCTTTTGGGTTTTAGCTACATGTAAATCGGTGTGGACGACGTCGACATCTATAGCTTCAGCACAGATTCGGCATTGATAAAGTTTTTATCGTGGATTTCAGTCTCTTCTTTCTTGAGCCTTTTGTTTAGCCTCTAAATATTCGATTCGAATCAGCTTTGCAGACCAATTGGCGTCGGACCAGTATTCCGCTCGGAGCGTTAAAAACTGAATGGTTAATAATCAATGATTATCTATTGCTGCTACGTCAACGCTATTCGCACTTAAAATGGAGAAGTATCAATGATATCTCGATCAACATTCAGCATCAAAAAGAAAATTTTACGAGCCCTCGCAGGTGTCGACGTCGAAGCTGCTAAAGCTTGCGAGGATTTATGAAAACATTTCGTGAGCTAACGAAGTCGCGTCCCTGCTCTCTTACTTCAATTGAAATATTTGCTCATACAATTGGTGATGAAACGCCACCAAAGAAGATCTTTTAAAATTTACCTCGTACACGAGCAGACGCATAGCAGTTAATGAGGCTTCAATAGAAAATGAAAATATTTGAAAAAGACGAGGCCAGCTTTAATCAACATCGTTAATTTTTAGCTTTGGGTGTCATTTTCTTGTGAGATGAGCGCCATGCGGTAGAATGAACTTACGAAATCATCGCTGTACGTTCGCAGCAGCATCAAGAGCAGCATTAATTTTGTTTTTGCCGAATAACGTTTTCACTCGCTCCACCGTGCCCTCCCCACCTCGCTGTGCTGCATACCACAAGGTGTACTCCTTTAGCGTGCCGTAAAGTGGATCACTCTTTGTCACCAGCGGTGACACCCAACGATTTTGGAAATCTTTCGGTGTCGATTTCGCGTATAATCCGTGAAACACCTGAGCTTGCATACTTTCGGCGAGCTTCTCCAAATCCGGGATATTCTTGATCGATTGGAGACGTTCAACCAAACTCGGAATCGACCAATGCCTCAAAAAGAGCTCATTCATCTGGGATACGGGAAACGAATCGACCCCCATCGCTGTCTTGTACATCTCCGTGTATCTGAGCCATTGAATAAGATACTGGTCTTGGAAACCGTTTGGGGGAAGTACCAAGTTGAACAGCTCTCTGGGGTTTTGCCGGGAATGCAGCCACGCTCCGTTCATCAAGTTGTGCATGGATGGATACGTTTCAAACAAGTGCGTCTGCAGCCGATCAACAAGACCCTTCATGCCGTCGACTCGGCGGAGGGATTGAAGCAGCTCCAATACCTCTTCATCCGGTTTTGCATTTCGTAGCAAGGCGGCAAATATGGCGTCTGAGAACGAGGTTTCTCCCATTTTGCTTCTGTACCTAAGTACATACTGAAGCCAGCTCATGAACTCTGTGCTGTCGTCAAGCATCCCGACAGTCTCGGAGAAACGGATTCGCGTGAAGAAGTCTTCGGGTTTAACCTGCATTTTTAGCGCCAACTTGTACGTCAGCTTCTCCGTAAACGCCGATCTTCTTTTGCCTTGAGCTCGTTCCTCTTTATCTTGGTCGCCAAAACGCGTTTCATTCGTCGGGGGTGTAGACCTAAATGATCTGCTCGCTGTAGGTGCTGCGGCGGCTACATGAGGCATAGCCCTTAAGTTGGGAAAAGATAGTCCATAGCAAGTATTGTTTCGAGCAGCAAAGATAAGTAGCCAAGCGTCAAAATGAGACATCGCAAACTCATCGTGGGTGGTTGCTTCTTGGGTAACAAATTGCAGAGTGAAGACTGTCCCTAGAGAATTTCTGGTCGTGACCGCAATCGGTTGAATCAAGCTGAACTTCAATCTTCAATTCCTCCCTGCATTTTGTTTGTAATGTAAATCATTGCTATCCAGAATACAATTAACATCCAAGTTTTTGTCTGAAGGCAAACTTTGATTCGGGCAGCAACGATAAGAAGTAGCCCACGCCTCGCGATAGGACAGTGTAAACTCATGGTTGGGCTGTCTGCGTAATTGTAAACGGGTTTTTTAAGCCAACATGGACTGATACGAAACTTCAACGATTCGTAATTTATTTTAAAAGTAAAATATTTCAGCCGATACATTTAAAATCCAAATCGTTTTTTTTTTTATGAAGCCGGCAACTCTGAGGCCTGCTTTGCAACCGCAGGAGATGCATCGAAGTACTAAGGAATATACGAAGTATACTTGCATTACTATGTGTCAGTCCGAGTACGATACAGTACTGCACCCCTATTTCAAAATCTGGTTTATTTGCATTCAGGGTCCCTCTTAACCACGCCATACCATGCCATGGCACAAAATGCTGTGATCCGATTGGATGAGCGCTTGCTAGGGCTAGAGTTTAAAGTAAATAAAATGACAGGAAGTGCCACGGATGGCATTCGCAAGTGTCATGGCAAGAGGCAATTGCCATGTGCCATGCTACTTTTATTTTCATTAATGTATGTTCTAAAAATAGTTTTCATGATGGCACAGTGGCAGGGCAATTCTATTCGTAACCACGCCATGCCATGGCTAATTTCTAGTGCCATGGCATGGCACACGTGGCAGTGGTTAAGAGCCACCCTCAGGATCATCACATCCGGAAGTTTATCAAAGGTCCAAGGGCGCGAAAACGGGGTGTAGTACTGTACTAATGCTGTCTGCTCTACCAGTAGCGCATTGACAGAACGTTTTATCGCAAATGAATATCATTGGTTCAGATTTAGCTTCAATATCAGGATAGATTGGACAGTGGTTGATGTTCCTCAAACTGCAGAGCTTCTTCATGCAGCGCGCGACTTTGTCTAATCACCTGTTTTTCCGCTTTACAGGCTATATCGTTTTTATCGACTTCTTCAGACCGGCATTTTCAACTTATATTTTGACATATTAAACTACTTCGAAGTAGATATTTGCACTTTTTCAGATAAAAAGGGGTAAAGCCTCCATAACCCTGTATTTATAGATGGTGCTCGAGGTTAAAGATAGGGATGTCATGGTCACCAAGTCGCAAATCATCGGAGTAAAACCCTAGACAGAGCCCTGAGTTGGGGAGTTCAAGCAAGAATAATTAGTCAAGGGTGTAAGTCGTAGACTGAACCATGCTATGGCGGTGCCAGCCCAGATTGGGTTCAGCTTGTCTCGCTTCCGCAAATCGAACGAAAGCACAGTGTATGGCTCGATTATCAATGTTCCTTAGCACCTCTTGTACAATGCGTATATACTGTGATACCCGATTATGGTAATTTGCTACGTCACACAATATGAGTAGAAGTGGGTATCGTACTTTCATTCAGACAGTAAAGTTTGCTTTAAAAGATAGTCTTGTATTCAGTTTATGGGCTACGCTCGAATGTTTTAGAGCGTCGAAGACAGGTTATTAGTATTTCAACAAGTAATAGCCTGTTTGAAAAGGTAAAAGGTTTCTATAATAGAAGAGAAACACGGTGCCAATACGAAAAGTTGGTGCGGAAGGCCTGAGCGAGGCAGGCGTGGCCACCATTTAAGGATTTTAAAAACAATTCAGTCGAGAATCCCTTGTGCGATTACGCTTTCGAGCTTCGATTCGAAGTCAGTCGGTTTTCCGTCATCATATCATGTCTCGTCACGAGACTGTCGTGGCATTTTACCCTATTCGAGCTGCGCACAAATCATGAGATAAGAAATTTGGTCTGGTCGGTAGTCGCACCTTTACTGACGACTACAAAGTAGTACTGTAAGCAACTCTGTGCAGTATGCTGGTCTCCCAAGCGTCGCAAAAATACAGGTCTTTAAACTGAGTCTGCCCTACACTTTCATTACGGACCGGATTCCGTAAATGCTACCAGATTCAGTTTTCAATTTTCCCGCGTGAGTCCGCGTTATCATGTATTGGTTCCATGCTCTCCTGGTGACTGTGTTTGCATTCCTCGCCAGCACTGATTCTCTGTCAGCAGCAGCACATTCCGGACAAAGGAAAACAGGCTTGACGAAATCGTCAACCACGGCGATCGTTTCAAACGCAAAGAGATCACTGAGATTCAACGATAAGGAAAATGGTGTGGTTGGCGGTGAAGATATTATCGAGGGGAGAGGCGGTGGCAAGCTGTCCGACTACTTTGGGAGGTTTGGTGGCATGAAAAGTAAAATGTTACAGTGGGCTCGGGCAGGCAAGTCCGACGATTTCGTGATTGAGAATTTAGACCTTAAAGTCTATCGGGACATACGCTCAAGAGTAACAAGAACTACAAGCATAATAAGCAGTTTCAAGAGGCTCTCTTGGATATCTCGCTCAAGAAAATGACCTCAACTTCTGAAATTTGGAGGCGAATGGGATTCGAAAAACTCAAGACAATCGACGACGTATATGCCGCACACGCGACGGATGCATTCCAATTGTACATGCGATACGCTAGACATTTTGACGACGCTGCGCTTAAGAATAACGTCAAACACAAAACGCCCATACCAGTGATCAGCGACGACGTAACTTATGCAGAGGCGACGGCAAGAATATCAAGATGGAGGTTGGACGACAGACCTGCCGATTACGTCAAAGCGGCCTTAAGACTGGACAACCTGTCGCCCGCAGCGCTCCTAGAGCGCCAATACTTCGACTTATACGTCATTTTTTTGAAAAGCAAGACTAATCGCATGTTCAGTGCGGGAGAGTCCAAGGAAAAAGTTGAATCATTCGTCAAGACGGCACTAAATCTCAACAGTATGTCGCCAGAAGACATCCCAACAACTATCGGCAAGTACTACAGTTACCTTTTGGTACCAAAGGCCCGAACTCTTGATTGAGTGAAGATTGGATGAAAAAAGTGGCACACTGCTCGTGCGTTTGCATTCTTGAACACTGCGCAATGGTAAGATCAGCGCAGGGTTTCGCGAAAAACAAGTTACTCGGCACTTAGCTCATTTAAAACAGACGAAATCATTTTTCGTGCTGAAACAAATGCACCTTAAGAAAAATTGCGGCGCTCCGCCTCGTTTAATAACCGGAATAAACACGAGGGCGATTTGCGCAAAGCTTTTTGTCAGGAACTTGCTTGATTTGAGGGGATTTAGTCTTCTCTTTGGTAACAGACGCAAAATTTAGTGTTTAGACTGCGTGCGTACTTGTTCCGCCTCTTGAGTTTAGATGCAAGTGTGGGAGGATCAGTTTAGAAACAAAGTTGACAAATACCTGGGATCGGTGAAAATAAAATTGAAACCAAATACTACGGTATTGGTCCATTGATTATTGAACCTGGTCGGAAAATTAAATAAAATATTGTATTGGATTTAGAAAAATCCGTTATTCCGTATATATAAAAACAATATTAAGTACTGCAATTATTGTCAGGAATTGGTAGGGTCAGAGCGGTGCAGTGGTTTGGGATGACCCTACCAATCCACTGCACAGGGTTCAAGTCCCACACCTGTAAGAGAAGCTGGTGGCTACCACCGGGACTTTTGTCCGGGCTTAGGGTACTCTAGCAAACAAAAAATGCGCCGGCGACGGCAGGCAGTCCACCAGCGGATATGAATTTTGTATCTGAAAGTTTTATACCTGCTATATTTAATGATAAGACATATTATCACTAATAAGAGGTTATCCTTCTTGAGTGACTTTCATCTACTCTGCGTCTTCATCGGCCGACTCATGGAACCCCAACAAAGAAGTGAAGTCTCAGAGCTCACGGTTAGCGCGTAAGAACACCAACATCTCGAAGTTAGCTGGCAACAGACTGGAGCGTAGAGGGTTGAGCACCAACTTGCACTGCGAGAAGAGGCGCTCACAGCGATTGCTGGTTGAAGGAACCTTTTGTAGCACGTCAATGTACTTGGTTCCAGCGGCTCGGCGAGGTCTCTTCGCTTGACGAAGCGTTTCCGTCGCGAAATCTGTTTTCTTCTTCGTGTTCGGTGCTGCTGGTTCGCGATCAGCAGGGCCAGCAAAACGAGCCACAGCTTCTTCTTCATCGGCGCTTAACGGTCGATCCGACAGCAGCTTGACAACCGCATTCTCAAAGGCCGGCGAGTGGACGATTCGAGCCGATGCACTAAGGTGGTGTGCCGTCCCTGGGTACTTGGAAATGACAGCGGCGAAAAGGAGTCGCACATCGGCAAGGTTACCTTCTTCAGCCTGTAGCTTGACACAGACGCTGTCTAGCGCCTCAAGCTTAGTGACAAGCTGGACAATCTGCCGATGGGTGCTTGGTCGGGGTAGGAGGTCCTCCACAGCTGTCACCATTTTGATAGCGTCCCGGATCTCCACATAGCGAACCAGCATCTGGTAAGTGGATGACCAGCGCGTAGCGTTTGCCTTCAGCGGCTTGTACTTCGTAAACCGAGCCAGGTCCGCTGCATTGTTGGCGTGCCGCAGCTGAATACACAGCTTTGGACTTGGTCGATCAGCGGCTTGTAGTCTTCAAGGTACCGGCCGACAGCGAGGTTGAAGCGATGACTTGCGCATCCTACGAGCGGTACTCCCATGCGCGTAGCGACGGCTTGGTTTGTAGGGCAGTTGTCAGCAACCATGAACAGGACCATACTGCGATCCTTCTTGTAGACATCCAGCACCGCATCAATCATGTCGATGTGAGCATCAGCGGTCTGGCCGTGCTCGGCAGAAGACAGCCCGAGCAAAACTTCGTGTAGCGCCCCGTCCTTCGTGAAGACACCGTAGATAGCGATGAAATGGTAGGTCCCTGAAGTCCAGCCGTCAAACATGAGGTCAAACTGGTTGCCAATGTCTGCCGCAATACGCGTTCCCACCTTGCCCGCCACGTGACGCATGTACTTGACCAACGTCTTCGAAGACACTGGCTTGATTGCAGCCAGCGCACGCGTCATGGCGTCGTCCACCACACTCAGGGGCATGTTCCGGACGAGAACCCACTCCATCCACTTGAAGATCTCCATAGTGCGCGGGTCAATGAAGCCGTGTGCTTCGAGGGACTGGCCGAACGATCGGTGGCTCTCGTCGTAAGTCTTCTTGTAGCCGGGGTGGCTCGTTGCGAGGTGGTTGATGAGATTTGTGTAGCCAGTCCCCGGCGTCTGCTTGCGAGCCTTGCCGCACTGCTTGCAGGAAAACTGCCCGTTGCCGCAGTCCGTGAAGAAAAAGCTGGAGATGGCGCGAGAAGTTGACATGGCACTGGCGAAATGAGAAATGAGAGGCACGAAAGCTCAGCCTGATGCCTCCGGCAAACTCACACAAACCATTCGTTTTGATTGCATGCTTGACAACCACTACTTTACTCTCTGTTGCTTTTTACGTTGGGTAAAAATTTAATATAATTATTACGGGCACAATTGCATATTTTACGGAAAGATCAATTTGCCAATAATCCATTATTCCGTCAATACAATTGCACAGATATTATATTATAATAATTTTTTCCGAGCCCTGCTGGTCGTATTGCACTGATTATTATTGGCTGTCGTAGTTCTTTAAAGCAAAGTCAACAGCAGAAGCAATACATTATTGTGGTATTTTCCACTTTATTTATTTATATTGCAGTGTACGCTTGCCCCTTTTTCACAGTCAGTGTACGTTCACAAGGATAAAACGAAGTTGACGTATTTTGTCGCTACAAGTACAAGTACAGCACGCTCTCCTACTGGCAGTGTTTGTGAGAGCTGAAATGGTCAGGAGAGTGAGGGCTGGATGCAGCGTTCGTGGGAGCTGGTGTGGGCGCTAAGTACGGTACGCCGTATCCATTATTCGCTGCAGCGGTACCAGTCTGCTGTGCTCTCGCCTGTGCGTCAGCGTAGTATTTCGTGTCCATATACTGTTCCGTCGCGGTGGAAGTGGGCACGTAGCTGTTCTTCATGTCTTCAATAGCATCGTCGTCCACAAACTCAACGGCTTGTGGCTTGAACTCGTCGGTCTTGCAAGCCACGACCACGTCGCCGGATTCGATCTCCTCAACTTTCTTGCCACAAATTGGACGAGTTGAAGCCAAGTGAAAGTTTTCGACGAAGTCGTCAGAGAGCTCTTCGATGCGGTAAACCTGGTTAAACACTTCGCACTCAGCGTAGTGCATTTGCTGTACCACCAGATCCATGTTGCCATCGAAGCGATCGTACAGTCCATCGTACATTTTCTGTACCCACTCCCAGTACTCACCGGTCGAGTCATTCACGAGATGAATCCCGCTATGCGAACACCCGTTTGTTTCCTTGAAGTATCCGTAGCCGACGTCGTCGGGGGAGTCATCAGAACCTCCATCGAGACTACCAGCGACCGAGCCACGGAGCGAGCCACTTCCACTCGTACTTAAATCCGCAGGAGAAGAGTATGGTGCTGTAGTCTCTGTCGGTGCTGAGGGATTTTCGTTAAACGCAGGACAGATCTTACTGTTGCTTAGCAACTGCTGCGTCATGATGTCCGGTAGTTCGTACGAGTACGAGTAGTCCCCGAGTTGTGTCACGTCTCCGTAGTGCCACATCTCGCTACCCACATGCGAAAAGTATTTACCAAGGGTCGGGTGATCCGTAACATCCATGGTCTGGCCATCTACAACCACGTTCTGTACGATTGTCGCGTTGGGCCCGACACCGGACACACCGTCGCATGAGTCGGTGGCCTTTGTAAACGCCTTGGAAGCAGATAGCAGCTCCTCTTTCGTGACATCCGTCCCGAAGTTGCAGAGGTGATAGACGTGCAGATACATGTCGATGGCGGCGTGCCATGAATAGAAAAAAATATCACGCGGCGAAGCGAATGTAGCCATGGTGCCTCCAACGGCGTTGTGTACTTCGTTGTGCACTCCGAACTGGATGCCTTCGAGGAACGTTGCATAGTCATTAGAGCGACGTATAATGCTTAAGAAGGAAGCGAAGCCAGCACCGGACGGCACCGGCTTTGTAGTCATATCCGTGCGGACCGTGTAGCCGCAGACGTCGTTGTCGTCGCACTCGTCACTCAAGGGATAGCCCGTGACTGGGAAACCAACTGCTGTTTGACCGTTCTGGGTCAAGTAGACTTCCTTGTTCCCAGCTCTGTTGCCTCCGATCTCTTGTAAGATGTCCGAGCACTCGTACAGGTTAGCGCACTCGCCTGCTGCCTGACGGACGTACGCAGTCTGCACGTCGTAGTACGGCAGAGTCACGCATGCGAACTTGGGGTTTTGGTCACGGAGATAGCTCTCCAGAGCGATAAGAAGACGACGGTGCCACGAGAAGAAGCCACAGGAACGGTGAGCTTGTGATTCTCCGTTCGGCTCAACGTGGATGGCCGCAAATTCTTTGATTGCCCCGTTCTTGATGGCAGTATCTATTGCCTCCAGGTAAAGGCTCTTCTCACTGCTATTCAAACTTGACCAAGCCTTACGCGTGCGTTGGTCCTGTCCGCATGCTTCATTGCCACCAGCTTGAGCCACTGCGTCGGTAGTAGGTAGCGAGGTGCTGATGAGTGCTGCAGCCAAAAGCAGCGTGACGCATCGGAGGATCGTACTGATGTTCATTGTTGAAGTCGATCTTCGAGGCTGAGGGCTGTCACCTACAGCGAGAGTTGGAAAATAACCACAGCACTCGACGTGGTGTCGAGCTTACCGAGATGAACCATGCTAGCGAACTGATCCGTCAAGTTCTACATCCTCGAACAGCATGGTACTGATGGAGCTGGACGTACTTTAAAAGTTGCTCACCGCGAGCCAAGAGGCAGTCACAGATTCACGAGAAATGGCTCATTTCAAATGAGCGGGTATGACCAAATGCCAATTGTTTCGCCAGTGATAACTCTATGTCCAGAAGCGAGTGCGAGAAATGAGTTCAGAAACCATGTTTTATTTAGGGGGAATCAGAAATTGGTCACGCTTTTGTACCGAGTTCATGTTTCTTGAGGAACGTCTCTCTGATGCACCACCTCATTTCTATGCGTGGACTGTTTCAAAGTGTGTGGACGAGAATGTTCACAACTCGAAGTTATCAAAAAAAAATAACGCCGAGGCTCCTTGCCCCCAAATTCTCGCAGTGTTTGTGACGTTCCTTTCAGAGAGAAAAGGTAAAACTGTCCCCGAGGAACTGGTTAATAAAATCTAGTTTATTTGTCGGTTATGTGCTCAGATCGCTTCTCTAATCTCGACAAACATGGCTACATTGTGATCGATAAAGTTACATAACTTTCTCTTTTTTACTTTTTACTACTATAAAGAACGGCGTTTTGGACATTGATTCAATCCACCAGTTAGTCATCGGTGGCAGATTCATGAGACTACCAGAAATGTGAGCGTACGATTCTGTTGTACTAGTAAGTAACAGTTGTTATGGTAAAGAAAAATAGAAGACGGTCAAGACTCTTATTGTTTGTAGTTCAAGTATATAACAAAGCTATACACAACGTGGGGGATGCCTTTTTAGCATCTCGCCACCAGAGTCGCCATCGTTTCAAAAGGTTTGTGGTCGTCTGCTTACAGCTTGATGGACCGAGTGACTGGCGTCGACGGCTGACTGTAGTAGCCGCTGGGGGACAAGTCGTCGTCAGTGCGGCGCTGACGGATCCTGTAGGCCGTGAAGCCCGCGAGGGCAACGACCGCACAGACAGCGATGACGATGCCGGCAACGGCAGCGGCACCGACACCTCCCGTCGCGGCAGTCGAGGCAGCGTCCGAGGTCGTCGCAGCAAAAGACGTCTTGGTCGAGGAGGCACTTTGCGCCTCCTGCTGGGTCTGCTGTTGCCACGTGTAGTCGTCGTCGTGGTTAGAAGATGTGGTCGTCTCCGTCTTAGTTCCCGTCTTGATTCCGGTCTTCGTCGGAACCTCCGGGGTCTTGGACGGGGTTTCAGTCGCCGGCACCTCAGTGGTAGGGTACGGCGTGGGAGCGTCGGTTGATGGCACTCCGGTCGTTGGGTACGGCGTGGGGGCGTCTGTCGTAGGCACCGCAGGCACCTCAGTCGTTGGGCACGGCGTGGGCGCGTCCGTCGTAGGCACCTCAGTCGTCGGGCTCGGCGTTGAGCCATCGGTCGAAGGAACGCCAGTCGATGGGTATGGCGTAGGAGCGTCGGTCGAGGTCTCGGTCGTAGGTTTCGGCGTTGGCGACTCAGTAGACGGCACCTCCGTAGTGGGAGCCTCCGTGGACGGCCCGGCAGTTGTCGGGGCCGGCGTCGAGCCTTCCTTGGTCGGAGCAGGCGTGGGCTTGCCGGTCTCCGTCTCCGGCTTGGTCGGAGCAGGCGTCGGCTTATCGGTCGTCGTCTCCGGCTTGGTCGGAGCAGGCGTGGGCTTGTCCATCTCTGTCTCCTGCTTGGTCGGTGCAGGCGTAGGAGCCTTGTTCTCCGTCTCTGTCTTGGTGGGCGCAGGCGTAGGGGCCCCAGTCTCCGCCGTGGTCGGAGCGGGTGTCGACTCGTCGGTCGTCTTGGTCGGAGCAGGGGTCGACTCGTCCGTCGCAGTCGTTGTCGGAGCCGGCGTGGCCTTCTCGAAGACACATCCCCAAGCACCCGTTTTGATCTTCAAGCACACGGCGTCCTGAGGAGCCACGCAAGTGCTAGAGTTCGTGTAGCTGGACAGTGTGTCGTGGCAGTCCTGCACGGCTTCGTCACCCTTCTTCGGGCACAGCGAGCCAGCCGGCAAGTCACCCGCGCCACTGCAGATCGGTCCCTCAATACAGTACGTCGCGTCTCCTTCAACCGACACGTCGGTGCATGTCTTGGACTGCTCGGTCGTCGCAGCAGGCGTAGCACTCGGCGTCGTAGCAGCGGGGGTAGCGCTAGGCTTGGAGGCAGCCGGAGTGGCGCCGGCCGTCGTAGCGGCAGGCGTGGCGCTGGGCTTAGAGGCAGCGGGCGTAGCACCCGGTGTAGTCGCCGCAGGGGTAGCGCCAGGCGTCGTCGCAGCTGGGGTGGCGCCAGGAGTCTCGGTGCCAGTCGATCCCGACGCAGACGACTCCGTTGTAGTATGAGTCGTCGAGTGCGATCCGGTCGAAGAGGAGGTGCCCGACGTAGTCGTCGACTCGCCGGATCCAGTCGTGACTGTCGTCGTCGTGGCTCCAGATCCAGTCGTAGTGGTCTCAATCGAGCCGCCAGATCCAGTGGTGGTCGTCTGGATGGAGCCGCCCGAGCCAGTCGTAGTGGTCGTCGTCGTTTCGCCGTTCGAGCCGGTAGTCGTGGTAATAGTCTCGCCGTTCGAGCCCGTAGAGGTTGTCGTCTGACCCGTAATAGTCGTCGTGCTTCCGCCCGTGGTCGTCGAGGTCGTAGTGCCCGAATTAGTCGACGTCGACGTACCCGAGTTCGTCGTAGAAGTGGTCGATCCGCCCGATGTGGTCGTCGATCCAGTAGTGGTGGTAGATCCAGTAGTTGTCGTTGAACCGGTTCCGCCCGTGGTCGTCGAAGTCGTAGTGCCCGAGTTAGTCGACGTCGACGTACCTGAGTTAGTCGTAGAAGTGCTTGATCCTCCGGACGTGGTCGTCGATCCGGTAGTTCCGCCAGCTGTAGTTGTCGTTAATCCGCCGGTCGTTGTGGTCGTACCTCCCGAGCCAGTAGTGACCGTCGTTGTGGTCGCACCCGAACCAGTCGTGGTCGTGGTAATCGTCTCGCCGTTCGAGCCGGTTGTCGTCACCGTGGATCCCTCTTCCGAGGCCGACGTCTGTGAACCCGTCTCCGTCGAGCTCGATCCTGAAACTTCAAGGTCAGTCGATCCAGACGCGGCCTCCGACAAAGTCTCCGACACATTAGCAGCCGTCGTCGTCGTCGTCGTCGTGCTGCTCGTAGTGGTGACAGCCGAAGAGTTCCTGGAGCTCTGCACCGTGCTGCTCGACGTGTTGGACGTCAGGTATCCAGTGTCCACAACCGTCGTGGACGTCGCGTCGTCACCCGAGCCACTGGTCGAGGTGACCGTGATATTACCCAGAGACTCTTGCGTCGACTCGAGACTCGACTGCACTCTATGTAGATACGACTTGCGGATGTACGTCACCTTCCGGGTAGTCACGCGCTTGTACGTCGTGCGGATGGAACGGATCACCGTCGAGCTGGCGAACTGCAGACTCGACGCCGAGTAGGACGTGGAGCGCACGGCCATCTGCAGCAGACCCGAGCGCACGAGATCCAGACGCTGGCCACACTCCACACGGTTCGTGATGAGGTTCTTGTCCGTCACGAACGCCGATGTGAAGTTGGAGATACCGTACACGCTTTCGAACGTGTAGCACTCGAGCAGCTTCATGTGCGTCGCCACCAGGTCCAAGTTGCCTTCAAAGCGGGTGTACAGACCGTTGTACGCCGTCTGCAGCCACGCCCAGTAGCTGCCCGACGTGGCCACGGACGCCGTGATGTTGCGTGCCACTGACCTCGATCCCACCGTCACGTTCATCACCACATTCGACATGTTCGAGTACGTGGCGTCCACACGCGACGACGTGCTGGCCGTGGTCGACGACGAGCTGGAGCTCGAGTAGTTGGCGCTCACGATACCGTTGTGCTTGGTCGTGATCTCGCCGTTCGTGTAGTACGGCGTGTAGCCCGTGTACCCGTTCGTGACAATCGTACCCTCGCCGTACGCCACGTTGTCCGTGCTGAAGTTGCCCAGATACGTGTATCCATAGCGGCTCGTCAGCTGGCCGCTGGTCGCCGTGGACAGGGCCGAGGACGACGACGTGCTGTTGGACTTGGTGGTCACTTTGGTCACCTTGGTGGTCGTCACCTTCTTGCCGTTCACGATCCGGGTAGTCTTGGTAGTGGTAGTCTTGGTAGTCGTCTTGGTCGTCGTCGTGCTCTTGATCGCAGCGGGGTTCAACGGCGTGTACGAAGCCGCGAACGCGCGGTTGAAGCCCGTGCACACGTCGTTGTTGCTCAAGATCTGCTGACGCAGCACCTCCGGCAACTGGTACGTGTACGAGTAGTCTCCCAGCTGCTGGATGTCGACGTAGTTCCAGTTGTCGCTGCCCACGAAGCCAAAGTACTGGCCAAGTGTAGGGTGCTGCGAGGCGTCCACGACGTCTCCGTCGACAGTAATCCTCATGATGAGAGCGGACTCGGCGTCCACGCCGTCCACGCCGCCGCACGTCTGTGTGGCGTTGCTGAACAGCTCAAGAGACTCGAGGATCTGCTCGTACGTGACCGGCACGCCGACACGGCACAGGTGGTACACGTGTAGGTACATGTCGAGAGCCGAGTACCACGAGTAGTACAGCACGTCGCGCGACGCGACGGCCGTGGAGAAGGCGCCGCCGACGGCGTCCAACACCTCGTTGTGTACGCCGTACTGGATGTTCTCCAGGAACGTGGCGTAGTCGCTGGACGAGGCCACAACACTCTGGAAGAAGCCGAAGCTAGCGGCACTAGGCACGGGCTTACTGGACAGGTCGTCGCGTACGATGTAGCCGCAGTTGTCGTCGTCGTCGCACGAGTCAGCGTAGGGCGCCCCACTCACGGCGTACCCCGTGGCGTTCACGCCGTCGAAAACCAGCGTCGTCTCGTCCGTAGAGTTGGGCGCACCGCCGATCGCCTCGAAGATCCCGCTGCACTCGAACATGTTGGAGCATTCACCGTTCACCGCCTGGATGTAGGCCGTGTGCACGTCATAGTAGGGCAACGTGAGACACGCGAACCGTTCGTCCAGGTCGCGCAGGTAGGACTCGTAGGCTAACAATAGGCGACGGCGCCAGCTGAAGAAGGCGCAAGAGTATTCGCCTTGAGCCTGGCCCAGTGAGTCAGCAGCAATAGTCGAGAACTCGGCCACGCCGCCGTTAGCGATGGCCAACTCGGTGGCCTCCAGGTAGAGCGCCTGTTCGTCGGACGTCAAGGCGCCCCAGGGTTTACGGACGCGGGCCGAGCCGCAGAACTCGTTGCCACCCGGTAGGCCCGTCACATTGCCCGCCGCACTTAAGATCGTCGGGTAGTACACGTCAGTAGTAGTGGTAGTCTGCGCGGCCGAGGGCACGGCCTGCAGCAGCAGCGCTCCAAGCGCTGCCGCAAGTCTCATAGCGAGAGAAAATCGAGGATGGAAACGAGAGAAACACCACTCCTCGACGCAGATTGTCCTCTGGAGTGAGAGGCCAGTTAGAGAATGAGACCAAGGCGTGCGGCCGTCATTTTTTGGTGGCAAATCAGTTGGTGTCCGGCTAGCGATCGACACGCGCAGCTTGAATTTTGTAGGGAGTTCGTAAAAGCCAATTGTTGCAAAAATTGACAGTGGGAAGCTCAGACACCAGAAGCGTCTCGTCTGACAGAAGAAGGGTCGCAGAAGAGTCCTCCGTGACGGTCAAAAACTCGGTGTTTCGACTCCGTCGATTGCCTTGACAAGCTTTTTTTAAGTTAGGCGCGTTGCCGCTGCCACCGCAGCAAAGGCTTTCGATGAGGGTGTTCCGCTACGTATCCGTGGCTGAATGTGAGGCCGATGTCTACAGTATCTGGCTAGCACGTTGAAGCGAGGCCATCTGCTGGACTGTGGATGGATGTTTGGCTCTGGCCACTGCAAACGAGCCGACACGGCTGTCCCAGCCCGCGCACGCCCGAGCGCCTATATTGCACGACGATCGGGCGAGCGCCGATTTTCGATGCTCCATGTCATTGGATCATGGACTCCTTGACATTGTCAAGGAGCCATGATCCTGAAGAGCTGCGGACACCGAGAATCGAGCCTACCTCGGACGGGTTCCTGCGTGGACGGGTTCCTGCGTGGGTACGAACTCTGGAGCTGCGCGAGAATCAGACTCTGATTCACGGGTTCCTGCGTGGGTACGAACTCTGGAGCTACGCGAGAATCAGACTCTGATTATCAGAGTCCCTTGACAGTGAAGCCACACCTGCTGCACTTACCGTTTTCTGATTATCAGAGTCCCTTGACAGTGAAGCCACACCTGCTGCACTTACCGTACTGTTCTGCTCTATTTTGAATCACATTTGAACTGGTGATGGTTCTGTATTTTTCTTGCTTACAAAATCCAAGATGTTGCCACACAAGAGACAGGCACGTGGCTTCATTTCAGTAAACATCTTTTTTGCGATTCAATTAAGCCTCTTTTAATTGATACTGGTAGGAGAAGCATGATACATGTATCCTGTTTTTCACGTCCACCGATTCCGCTCCCAGAGATATTATTTTGGAGCAAGCTTGATATTTTTAGATATTATTATGGAGCAATTTTGATATTTTTAAATATCAAGTTTTTAAGTTTTATTTTAAAGCTCTTGTTAAAAGCAATTGAACAAGGGTACCAGTAGTTTTACAGTTTTTTATGGAAGTTTACAATAAATGTCACAGTTTCGGTTAAGTGCGAAAATCAATTGTCAAATTTAAAGCTCGATTATCTCGATAACTCTAAATGGTTTGTAAGTATTTTGTTTGACGCAGTCTCATATCGACTTACCTCGTTGATAATGAAGACCTTTTATATAATTTTGACTATCTGACCTGAGTAGCCTAATATATTGTAGTATTGTTATATCTGATAGAGCAGCTGTCCAACGCTCATATCAGGTAGGAGAGGTTTTACTGAATTCTCTCCAAAAGCCAAACAAGTCAAGAAAGTGTCAGTTGATAAAAAAAATCTCAGTGAAGCTGTGCTGAATAGTGTACAGTACAGTAGTACATGTAGTACTATATGACCCTTTGCAGTCGCCTCGTCGAGAGTGATGCGGGAGATTTGCATCGCTACAATTGGGCCAGGGATATCCACTAGGAATTCCGTGACTACGTAACGTAATCATGGAATTCATAGTACGTAAGCAGGGAAGAACCACTTCAAACAAACAGTGGACATACATGGCGTCCTCGCTGCAATGTTGGGACTGTAGCTGTTAACAAGGCTATTCCTCGCTCGCAGTGGGCTCTATGCCAACCGTCAAACTGTCAACATGTCGCTCAATGCGGCTCTTTTTTCGGCAGTCGTAGCATGTCAAGCTGTCAGCTCTTGGCCTGCTTCCGGTTACGAAACACGACCCTCGTGCCGCTCGGCGAGCGACGTGGCAACTATATGTATAAACGAGAAGTCAATAAATCGGTGCGCCGCTGGAGACACTGTTGTCTGGTGTCGAGATTATCGATCGTCCCGTACACTGGCGATGAATGGGAGGCTCATTATCTGGTTAACTTGTAATCGACAGAGTGTCAATGGTCTGAGAGTTCATTAATAGTAGTCAGCGCTTAGCTTTTAAAATATGTTTTAAATATAATGCCTTTCGATGTGAACGACCTTCTCCGAGCAGATCGAGCTGTCTTTGTGGGCGTGGTCTCCACCGACGACACACGGTTCACGGGTGGGTTCGAAGTCGTACGGATCGGACTCGTGCTCCGAATAATAAATGCGCTTCTGGCGAGGAATACGCTCGTCATACTCAATGGTTACATCCGTAGCGTTCAAGTCCGCGTATTCCTGACGAGAGGCTGACGAAAAGTGCGATGGTGGCGATGTTTGTTGCTCCTTGCTACGTTTTCTATGAGGAGTCTACTGCACACGCACCTCACGAGTCTTGACAACTTGTCGAGGTCGTTCTCGAACTTCTTGCACCTGGCGGGGAGGAGGAGCCTCCATATCCACGTTATCTTCGCCTTGGTTACGCGCCGTCGTCTTTTCGACGTACTCGGTGACGTCGACACGTCTGCCCTTTGGTCTGTTGTCCTTAACGTTGCGCGCAGTCTTGCGGAACTGAATAAACATACCGAACACGAACAACACGATGATTCCAGCGAGGTATCCCCACCACGCTGAAGGAATCGAGTACACTGTCTCGCCGTTGACGCCTATTGACGCGTATTGCTCCAGATCGTTGGCGTTGGGGAAGTCCTCGCCGAAGTACCCAACGCCCCACGCCACCAACCCGGAGCCAAAGAGACTGGTCGAAATGATCAACACGGGCTTTCCGAACTTCAGCGCCAACACCCCGAAGAAGAATCCAAGTACCACGCACATGAGCGTAAGTAGATCTTTCGTGTGCCCCGGGTAGATGAGGTATCCGACCGAACTCGTGATTATCATCCCCGCCATGACCCCCGTCGCTGCCCCAGCAATGAAAGTACTGACCGGATACAACCAAATGACTGCAGCGCCGCACAGAATGCCTCCGACTCCGAAAGCGATCCAAGACGCCAAAACTAGCCACGATTCGTCACTGAACAAGCGTTCGGCGATCATCGCGGTGGTGACGCCTCCGACAACGAAACCAACAGCGAAAAGTGCGACGCGGATTAGTCGAAAGCCGAAGATAAGCATCACGGCGCCGATAATAATTGCCGTCGCTGCCAGAACACTGCCTTCTAATTGGATACCTCGAGCCTTGCCAAAGAGCGACTTTACGCTGTTGGAAGCTGAGTCGACGTCAGCAGAGACTTTAGATATTCTAATCGCGAATTGGACAAGTATTAGCGCTAGGACTGTCGACTTAGATGTCGATAGACCTGCCATTTTGTGTAGCATTAGCTTAGATTGCTCTCTGCTTGTGTAAAAGTGAAAATGGTCGAGGAAAGCTGGCAATCGCAGCATCGATTGCTTCAGACTCGCTGATCGGCGAAAACACATGGCTGTAGTGGCGCACCATGAGCGTTGTTATGGATGAAATGAGGCCCCACGGATAGGCAATGCTCACTTGTTTTCGTGCCGGCGCTGTCCTATAATGACTGTTCTTTCATTAGGTGAAGCCATCATTGTTGGCGTCACTTGGCCTTTGCGTTCCGACCCTTCCTTCTGTTTTAACTTGACTTCTGTGAGAAACAGCATCCGACCTTCCTGCTGTTACGAAGGCGAACTGCAGGCCAAGTCTGAGACAGCTACTGTCCGGCGTGTTAGGAAAGAATGTGTGGAAGCCAACGCCAGCGCTAGTAAAACTGGCTTGGGACACATTTTTTTTAGTGTGGATGGTGTTCAATGAAGTACATGTACACCGTTCACGCTAATTAGTCGTAGTTCGCAATTAGTCGTGGGTTTGCACTTTAGTGACATCACAAATTCGGGATATTCGACAAAAATGATCAAATCTAAAGAAAAGGACCGGTTTTGAGCAGATCTCATCGAGCTCTTTGTTCCAGTATGCTCGGTGTAAAAATTAGACAGGTAGATTTTACAAAATGGACAGCTGAAATCCCAGTATAAAGGGCTTCGATCTGTACACCACAATTAGTCAGGGTACGACTAATTAGCGTGAACGGTGTACATGTTGTATAGCCGCAATATTTACTAATAGAGAAATAGGCAATTTATATGTATAACTTTATTTATTAGATTAGAAGTGTTCTTTGATGGTTTTACGAGGCCTCTCATTTCATATTTGTATGCGTTAACATTAAGGAGTTCACACCCGAATTAATCAATTGAATTGTTCACAAATGTGGTGGCAAAGCGCATGTAAATGCAATAGAAAAGCGTCTTTTTTGCCAGCCAACCGATGAGTCTAGCTCAAAAGCGAGCGGTGCGACTTTGCAGTCAGAGTTTCCAATGTTATGGGTTCGAGTCGGTTGTGCTTCAGGGGTTCTAATCGCTGCCTGTGGTAAAGCGCGCTGTAGCTGAAACTCGTTTTGAGCCCACAACGCAAGCTGGACATGGCTCAAGTATAGATTTCGGCTTTGTGGCGGCAGATCTGTCGTCGCTGCTCATTCATTAGCCTGTTTCGCGACGTGGGTGAGGCCTTAGTGTACGCAGTAATGCAGTGTTGGGCGGAGAATTTATAAATGCCATCACAAGTCTGGAAAAATCAAGCCACTTTGCTTGATAAACGCGTTACCGCGTCGTGTGTACCTTATATTGGGCACAGCTCCTTATCGTGATTCCTCTTTATAATCATAAAATGTGGCTTCGCTATCAATACAGAGAGGATTGTCTGTAGAAAAGTAGTTATATTTATTTTGGTTGTGTAATCTCACAAAAAGTATTATCACACGTAGGTTGAGGTGAGGTATGCTGTGTTACTGCACCCTAACACGAATATATATTCTCTGCAGGCTCATCCTGTCCTATAAAGTTGTACGTTTTGTTTGGCCGTACCTGCCAACATATATTGTTCCGTTACTCCTCGTGCCCTACCATGGCCCCGTTTTGCTCCTCTATCCAGTGCGTCATGCCTCCTTCATTGTCGTAGCAGCAAACTGATAGAGTTGATGCTTCATGGCCGATTCTGGAGCATTGATCATCACGCTCTTGGCGTTATCGATTGCATAATTGGCAACCGCATCCGCCATCCTGTTGAATCTTCGATAATGATGTCTTCAACTTCGAACTTCGCATCTGTCTGCCAGACGTTGTGCTATTATAGTCGATATCAGTGTTTTAGTCGACTAAATTTGGGTTTCTTCCGTCCCCGCATCATTCCAATGATGAGCTAGCTGTCTACAACGACGTGGACACCTTTCCACCTCAGCTTTACCGCCCGGGCCAACAAACAATGCAACCCGATGAATTCTGCTACATTATTGGTGGTTGTACCGTGTTCAAGTGTGGTTGCCGCCACCCACAATGGTCTGAATTTGTCGCTGCCGTTTCCTCGTTCGACTCACACGCTGCCACACCCGCCAGGACCCGCATTGCCTCTGGACCCACCGTCGAAGAAACCCACCACGTGTGGTGCTTTTAACTCACGGCGCTGGTCCAATATGTTGAACGTGTATAATAATCTTTGCAATGTCAGTTTTGCTCCCGGTGTGTTTAGTCAGAGGATGGTACTGCAGCTTACGACGCAGCAACGATTCTTTAATTGCCTGTATGCACGTCGCCAGGGCCTAGGCGCATGAAGACTGTTTCCTGTGTGTGTTGTACACCCGGTCGACATTACGTCTACAGATGTGTGTTAACGTTACCGCGCATCCGATCGCCCACATCTCATCGGCTACCTCGAGATTGTCCCAGGTCTCGTCATCTTGTACTTCAGCCCAATTTGCTAGCCATACTGGTATGTAAGCGAGTTTGAAAACGGAATTGCTGGTATCCATTCCTCCATAGAGTTTGCCCACGTATCTGATAAACACCCCAAAGATCGACCAGCTGTGACCAAAAGACTGCCGCTTCAGGGCACAATGACCCATCCCACTGTCTGTTGTCGTTGAGCACTGCGGGATGCTGCAATTAAATCGTGTTTGCTGCCCTGTCCACAGTTTCAGCCTGTGCCACTTCAGCTTGATAAGGGGTAACCCCCTCCATTGTGTGTACACTTTTCCTATTCAGAGCATGTAGCGCCTTTGCTATCGCAGCGTTGTCCTCTTTTCCCATTTCTTTTGGTTGTTGTGGAGCACCCGTCTAGCTTCCTCTCTCCGTGTGAGCTCTCGATATTGGCGACGAGTTCGAGTCCACCTTCGCTGTCCCGCCCACAACGGACCCATCTTGGTGAGGTCCATATAGGGCGTAATCCATACATCTTGATCGGTCAGATTTAGGATCCGTGCAGCTTCCTGGGTTGATGTTTCGGCTTCATTAAGGAGTCGAGCTGTGGTTGCCGTTTGACCCCACGTATGCTGCAGCTCCTTTCCGTTTTCGTCACTGACCACTTGGAAAATATGATGTTTGTCCTCGAGTGTATGATACATCCGCAGCAGACTGGGATCTGGCCAGCGAAAAGCTATCTCCGGATAATTGGCAATTAGTGTTAAACAAGCCTCTCAAAATTGATGAGCAACCCGGCTTACCATCGGGGTTGTATAACACGAAATAACTCTCCATAGCCAATGAGCTGTATATCCATGATCTTACCGATTTTTCTGCGTGCAGGACTGCCAAACGGTTCCTTGAAGTCCTTTCTTAGAGGTAATGGTCCGCCAGACGCTGACCAGAGCTCCAGATCTCCAAAGTTTCTGTCGTGCAAGGCTTCTGGGATGAAGGCACCGCACTGCTTGCACCTGGCATTCCTAATTTTCGTCATCGGTCCGTTAACAAGCGTCTTGGATTCACACCTCAAGCCACCACTTTCCCAACTTGCGCTCAAACCTTCATTATGCCTAAGCTTGGCTCTCGTAGATTTAACGTCATTTTTCAGTTCATTCTCCGCGAATCGCACAGCAGCCCAAGGTCGACCCGCGGCCCATAAAGAGCCACGAATGCGCGAACTTGGCTGTGCCTTAGTTGGTACAATGGGTCGTATCTGAGTTCCATTCGCCGTTTGTAATATGTTAATATTTCTCCAATTAGTTGTATGTTTGGTCGCTCTGACATGACCCATTCCCCTATCGTCTGCGCCGCCATCGCTATTATAATAGTTTCGCCCTTAGATTTAGCACACCCAATCTCCCGAGAGTTGGTGCCTTTTCTGTGACTTCCGTGACAATCCATTCGATTGGCACCATGATCGGCCTTGAGAATAAAAAATTCCAGACAAAATTCCGCATAGACCTGCTTCTTAATTAATACAGCTCGATACTTTTTTCCATGAAAGTCGAATCTCTTAATCTAGAAGCCATCCCACATCCACTCCTCGGTCGCCCAAATAGAGCGGATTTTTTTCTGCGTTCCTCAAGCTGACCATGAAGAAGCAATATTGCTGTTGAGAGCGATTTGTATCTCGGGTTAGAAAAAAACAAAACAAATTCATATTGAAATCTATGCCATTTTCACATGAGCTGGCTGCTGGATCTGATGGGCCATCGCGCCGACAGCCATCTCAGTTCCCACCACTTGGAGCGCCGTACTCAGTGCCGCCAACAGTGTGATGGTTGCTCCACTGACTCAACTACTTCACACAACGCATGGCAGTCGTAGGTGAATGTATCTATCAACCAACGGGAGAACCTTCCCCATTGTGTCGGAGGAAGTGCGATAAATTAACTTATAAACTACTCGAGTCTGCACGGTTCCGATACGCGCTCCACGACGTCCAGTTCTGCGAGACACGAAGCAGCTCACGACAGTGCACACACCGCCCACCACATCCATCACCACGCGCTCGTATATCGATTGGTCGCGCCTGAAAACCTTGAGGTAGAACGCGAGCGGCAGCACCAGCCAGCACACGATGATGGTCGACACCTGTGGAATTTACCAGGTCAAGGAAGTGGGAGCAGAAGCCGATGGCGGCGTCCACCAGTATCACCATGAAGAGATGTAACGTGACGTAGTGAACACGTTGGCAGAGCCGCTGTTGTCCGAGAGCTGGACCTCGTCCTGTTCCTTCTCCTCCTGCTCAGGCTTTGCAGAGCTCGACAGCGTATCAACGCCCGAGAAGGCGTTGCTCTCCAAGTCCACCGCGGCGCGTTCGAAGACGCTGAACATGCGACCACCCCGTCGCTCCGTCGCCCGAC